TATTTGGTATTAATCAAAAATGCATGGGGACTGTAGAGACATGGTTATAACAAATTCTAATTTTACATTCTTCACAAAAATCTTTAGGGAAAATAAAATTGTCCATATTTTTTTGAATCATGGCTTCTTAGGGAAACACAGAAAATGTGAGAAGGGCATGAAAAAAATATAGAACTGAGACAAAATAACAGGTTTACTCCAAGTTTACAAGTAGCAATATTTAATGCTTTGATATAATTCCTCTTTATTACAAAGAACAGCTATCAAATAAATCACTGTGTGGAAAAGAATTGATCTGGGAATCAACTGGGAAAGAAAATCACAAAGAAGTGATTGTGAAGACATTCATTTCTTCTTCAGATATGTAACTGTTTAATCTGAAATAAACTTTACGATGGAAAACTATTAGGAAAGTTTCTTGCTTAATTTTGCCGTTCTACACTCTGATATTGATTGTTCAGGATTATTGAGCACACATGCTGTCATAAGAATTGTATATAATTGGCCGGGCGCGGTGGCTCAAGCCTGTAATCCCAGCACTTTGGGAGGCCGAGACGGGTGGATCACGAGGTCAGGAGATCGAGACCATCCTGGCTAACACAGTGAAACCCCGTCTCTACTAAAAAATACAAAAAACTAGCCGGGCGAGGTGGCGGTGCCTGTAGTCCCAGCTACTCGGGAGGCTGAGGCAGGAGAATGGCCTGAACCCGGGAGGCGGAGCTTGCAGTGAGCTGAGATCTGGCCACTGCACTCCAGCAAGGGGGACAGAGTGAGACTCCGTCTCAAAAAAAAAAAAAAAAAAAAAAAGAATTGTATATAATTTACTATATATACTCACATATGATAGACATTAAAGGATATATGTGTCTAGTAATAGCAGATGCATGTTTCTGTCCACTAAAGAAATGGTTACAGCTTTTAATAAATATGGCTAAGGGAATGATGTTAAGATTATGCGTGTGTATGCACATATTTGTTCTGGATTTCAACTGAGTATACAAAATTATTATCTTACACCACTTGCATTGGGATCTTCAGTTTTTCCTTCAAGAAGTGAATTATTAATCACATATTTAATTTTAGAGTATTATTGTGGTAGGACTCGCCAGTTTCTTGCTACAACATCTACTCATCCCTTTCTCTTTAGAAACAAACCGGAGTTTTTATATTGCTTCCCATAATAAAAAACATATTGCCTTCCAGATTTTGCAGCTAAATTTGGCTATGGGACTAAATTCTGGCCTTGAGCTCTTTAAGAGAGATACTTGTGAGAGTTCTCTGAAGATTGGTTAAAGGAAACTAACTCAGATGGAAGGTCCATTTGCCCACCTGACCCTCCTCTTAGGTTTTAGCCTGAAAATCAGTGGTGATGGCTGGAGAGCCAATAGCTATCTTGGAACATGATGTGATTCTGAAGGTGGGAAGCAAGGCTGGCATGGTACAGAAAAAAGGTGGGAACTTGGGTCCTTGAGAAAATTGTGGAGCCACCATATCTACCTGTAATTCCTACTTTCAGACTTATTTCTATGTGTGAGAGATTTATCTTAAGTCATTGTTATTTTTGTTGTTAATATTGTTGTTGTTAAGCTAGCATTCTAGCTGAGCCCAAGCTAGGACTCAAGAGTCTGGTTATATCTGACAGCCCCTGGATCAGCATCCCTCAATGCCAACTATTGAATGTAATGGGTTAATGGTGAATGGAATCTATTTCATGTAACAAAGAACAACTTGTTATGCCCAAATATGACGAGGTCATATTGCTCTTATTTCTCTCTAACTTGAGATTTGGGTCCATGTTCTCTATAAGGACTTAGAAATTGATGCTATGGTATTCTGGTTTTGTGTTAGGATGGTCACTGTTAATCTACTTAATAGTAAAAATAAAATCTTGCTTGGAATTGTGAATTAAATGAATTCTCCATTGTGCAGAAACAGGAACAGCATTATATTTTGTATGTAATACTCTTAAACAGTCAATTCATTTATTCGATTAATATTTTTGAGCTATTATGGATTACATAAGTTATGGAGGGGCTTTGTTATTTAGTCAATTCATGTCCAGTATCACAGGGGCCAGTTCTGAATTTGGAGAAAAGAGAAGAAAAGAAAAATTAAAGCAAATGACAAAAGTCTAAATATTTTCCTCAAATAATTATCTTTTTTTTCTTAATTTCTTGTGTTTACAGACTGGAATTTAAGCTGCATTTTTCTAGATGGCACCAGCCTATTGGTACATATATTAATGTCAAACAGTAATGCTCAAATCACATGGGTTCACAGTTGTCTCTACATAATTTATTAAGTATTCTTGCCACAAAGTCTCCCCCTCTTTTCTGGGAGACCTGGGGGAAGGGTCTCACATGTCCTTATGACCAGTTTGCTCACATTACTCATTTACTAGCCACCCTCGTGCTTACAAGATCCTTCATGTAGGAGCTCCACCATTCTGTCTCATGTCAGGATCTTCCAATAGAACACTGCTGTCCTGTAACAAGGCCATATACATGTTCTTTCTAGGTTACAATTTCCCACACTGCTAAATGATGTTGCATTTACTTTAAACTGTACCCTACTGGGGACTGACTTATTCTATAGAAATGAGGTGACTATTTCCCTAGCAACTCTGTCAGCCTGAAGTACTACTGCTTATGTCCTGAGTATCATAAAGTCTCTTATGGAAACATTTCTTTGTGTCCTTATGTATAGTCCTGAAGCACGCATCTTTCATTGTGCTTTATCTCTTGTGTCTCCGTTGGAGGCACCCGGGGTATGAAGTTTTATCCCAGCAGTTATTTATTCCCCATGCACATTTACTTTTTCTAATAATTGGCAGGGAGGACTTCTACTGCCCCATCAGTTTATCAGACAAAACCAAACTCTGAATCCGAGTTTGAGCTCAACTGGGAACCCTGCTACACCAGAACTTAACTTGGATTCCAGATTGCTTGATAAAATAGCTAGCTGACAATAAGCTATAATTTCTTGACTACACACACACACACGCGTACATATGTACATACACGTACATATGTACATACAGCAGTTCCCCTCATCCACAGGATATGCCCAAACCCACAGTGCATGCTTGAAATCTCAGAAAATACTGAACCCTATATATACTATGAGTATTCTAATACATATATAGCTATGATAAGTTTAATTTATGAATAGTCACAGTAAGAGATTAATAACAATATTAATACAATAATAATATGCTACAATAAAAGTTATATAAATGTGGTATTTTTCTCTTTCTCAAAATATCTTATTGTACTATACTCACCTATTTTCAAACCCTGCTTGTCCACAGGTAACTAGAACCAAGGAAAATGAGATGGCAAATAAGTGGTGAGGAATGCTACCATATCTCACATACATATATTTCAAAATATGTCAAACTATACACCTAAAAACTTATAATTTATATCAACATGATATGCTTGATACCATAGGCAATGCCATTTTCTCATTAAGTCATTTCTTTCAGTTGCAAAACACCATATAAAAGGAGTGGCATATGCTATAACATGTATTTTGGGTATTTTACATTTACCCAGATATGAATATAAGTGATATACTTAGTTATAATGTTCCCTTAAGCCACTGTTTTGCTACATGCTTCTATACATTGATTCTTCTAAAATTTATTTTAAAGGTAACACAGTTTTTTTCTTTTACAGTCTCCCCTTAGTAAATGTAGCTACTACGACTATGAGTAAAAGAAACACGGATGGGTGGAGGAGATATGGAGAGGCCAGCACTTTTCTAGATAAATGCAATGTGAAAACAAGGAACTACTCTTTAATTACTGGCACAGAAATAATGACAAGGAAACAAAATTACTTCCTGAATCACACTTTATCACCTGACTGGTTGCAAAGGCACATTTTTTTTTTTCTGTTTTCGTCAAATTAAAATCTTAACCATGTAAATTCAAGGCTGTAAAGGACAACTCAGGATCCTTCACAGTAATAATTACAGTATTAAAATTCTTATTTGCTAGAAAGTGGTTAGAACCATTGAGAAACATTTTATCAGGTTACGTGGTTAGAGAAAGATTTGAAAAAACAAAATCAAAAACAAAAAACTCATTGTAAAATATCAGAACACCTGAGATGTCCAAGCTGTAAAGTGTAATACACGCTATCAACTGTAGTGGAAAGAAAGTTCCAAAGTACGAAATACAGAGCAATTGTTGGTAGCATGAGTGGTGGGATTGAAGTAAACTGAAATAAATGGAAGGCATTTGTTTAATCTACGATCTTGTTGAAAGACAAGTCCCAGCACAGTAGCTTTCTCTTTTAAAGACTAGCCAGATGTTGGCCTTCTTAAGAGCACAAAGAATGGAACCACAGAAAGAGATAACAACGCTGGTAGAGAACGGTAGCTACAGTAAGGTTGTTTTTAAATGGATAGAAATCTATATAAAGGTGACTCCGACAAAACATAACAGCTGTCTCCTCCTCAGTCATTTAGGCAGACACTTGCACTAAGTAAAAAGGTGCAAGGTCTTTATCAGCAATTCCCATTATCTGGTACTTTTATTGCTCTGGCATGATTAGCAGAGACTACTTGGCCACCGTTGGCAACTATCTGCTTTTTCGTCAGCCTGATGTTTGGTCTGCAACCCCTCTAAAACTAACAGCAAAAGAGAAACTCAGAAACTTAGGAAGTTTTAGTTGGCAGGCTGGTGTCACCCTTAGCCTACTCTCTGTGAGCTATATTCTGCATTTTAGAAGCTCGCTGGCTGTTGCTCTTTTTGATAGCCAACAAGAAGCAACGTCATAGACCTGTTTGGCTGCTGTCCTGTGTAGAAGGGTTTGGCAGCCCTAGGGAGATGAATTTCTCCAGCGTTGGACCCGCCCAGAGCAGAGAAGCAACACCCTTCCAGCCACTACTCTGTTGCTATGAAACAAAAGACTAGGAAGGTAAGCGAAGCAGGAAGTCCCGCCTTTCAGCCCCAGACGGCTTTGGCTCCCGTTCCCGACGCTCACGCCCACCTGCCACCCCTTATTGGTTAGCTCCTTCGTGCCTTGCATCCCTTCTTCCATTTCCTTTCCCGTTTCCACTTTCGTTCCCGGGCGAGTCCAGGCCCCTCATTTCTCTCCGAGTCCAATTCCTTTCTGACGTGCTGCGAGCGGGCCTTCCTCTGGGGCCATTGTGTACTGTGGAGGACGTGGACGGGGCGGCAGCGCGAGGAGGACGGACGCCTCCCGCCCATTGGCTGCACCCGCTGTCGGGCAGTGCGCGGGTGTGCGGCATTGGCCCAGCGGCGCGCGGCCCCGCCCCCGCCCCGCCCCGAGCCTGGGTCCTGTGTGTGCCACAGGGGTGGGGTGTCCAGCGAGCGGTCTCCTCCTCCTGCTAGTGCTGCTGCGGCGTCCCGCGGCCTCCCCGAGTCGGGCGGGAGGGGAGAGCGGGTGTGGATTTGTCTTGACGGTAATTGTTGCGTTTCCACCTCTCGGAGGCCTGCGCGCTGGGTTGCTCCTTCTTCGGGAGCGAGCTGTTTCAGCGATCCCACTCCCCGCCGGGGCTCCCCACACACACTGGGCTGCGTGCGTGTGGAGTGGGACCCGCGCACACGCGTGTCTCTGGACAGCTACGGCGCCGAAAGGCAAGGAGGGAAGGGGTCACCGGGGAGGCTCCACACTTCTTACCGGCTCGGGGGTCCGGGGGTAGCCAGGCGCGGGCCAAGGAGGAAGAGGGGACAGCCCCGGCTCTCAGCTGCAGCTGCCGTTGCCGCCGCCGTCCAGTTTGAAGTGGGGCGTTTAAAGACCAGAACCCGCAGGCCGGGGAGGAGGAGACGGAGTCCAGGCAGACGGCGGTGGGGATTGCAGCAGGCGGCCAGGAGGCGCGTCCACCCAGGCGCCGAGCACACAGTGTCCCTCCCGCGCCCGAGACGGACGGGGCTGCGGGCACGGGAGGGACAGTTTGTCCCCTCCCCGTCCACCTTCCTCCCGCAGCTCAGAGCCGAGGGGCCAGGAAGGGGCTTGAGCGGGGAAGGGACACAGGCGTCCTGAAACAAAGCTTTGGGTGAGAGCAGAGGCGAGGAGCGAGAGAAGTGAACTCCTCGTTTCCGTGGCCGCTCTTGTCAGTGTCTCTCCGTCTCTTTTCAAATGGGCTATTTGTGTGTTATTTCATTTGGTTCTTGGGAATAACGACCCACCGCGTTGATTTAAAGAAATGTGTTCGTGTGTCCGTACTTGGTGGTTTTAGTGTGGGACATGTCGTGCGCCTTTGTTGACACCAGAGCTGTCCCTTACGTTTGTGTAGAATAATCTTTATGTTTATATAACTTGGAGAAATCTAACAGAGTGAAAGTGAAGTTTCTGCGTAAGGCTCCCAAAATGTATGATAGGAGCTTCAGTTGTTCTAGTATTTTGAATTGGAATTAAAGCAGGAGGGGAAGAACAGTCTGTTTTTTATCTAGGAAACCTGTTTAAGTTTTGTTTTATGAGTTGGGTATTAGTTCAGCCTTAGCTACTTGAAACCTGAGCAGGGTGCATCTTTAACTCTCAGTATTGTAAAAGCAAATCTAGGATCATTGCTCCTAAAACTACTGTGTGTAAAGATTGAGAGTGTAAATTCACAAGCTTATTGATGAAAATGAATGTGGAACTTTTGGTTTTGCTCTCACGGATGGAGGAAGATACAGTGGGTACAAGTTAGTCTCTCTAGTTTTCTGGTGGTAAGTATTTTCGAAATCAACTAACTTTTCTTTTTTTAAATCTGCCTTTTAAAGAACTAAAATTCCAGATGGCAAACTCAATGAATGGCAGAAACCCTGGTGGTCGAGGAGGAAATCCCCGAAAAGGTCGAATTTTGGGTATTATTGATGCTATTCAGGATGCAGTTGGACCCCCTAAGCAAGCTGCAGCAGATCGCAGGACGGTGGAGAAGACTTGGAAACTCATGGACAAAGTGGTAAGTTCTGTCTGACGTTGCCTGTGCGAAACACTATTCACTTTGTCTGTGGTTTCTCCAGATTTATTTATACAGTTAATTAATACCAACCTTTGTTATGGCAACAGTCTTTTGATTTCAATTCATCGTTTTTCTTACTTCAAGTCTGTGTTTTTTGAAAAGTTGGATTCAAAGACTTTTTTTTTTTTTTTTTAACCTTTTGTGCTTTCTACTCTTTAAGGTTCACAGTTCCTCTACATGACTCTGTATGCAGAATTTTACCATTGGCTGCTTTTTGTTGGTGTATGGCCATAGAATGTTTGGAAGTGTTTGTTCTGTCTTCTGTGAGGTTGTGCTGCTCTTAGATAACAAAAGAGTACAAGCAGGTTATTTAAGCCTTTGATGGACCACTCATGACAATCATCTGGTGTGATACTGAAAATATTTACTGGGGAAAGAAACAGATTAGTTCTTTTTTAAATTTTTTTCCTTTTTTTGTTACTTCGTCCACTGAAGTCTTGAACTCCTCAAAGTCATCCAGAAACAGATTAGTTCTTAAGTGTAGAGGCAGTATTTGAGGGAGTTTCCATTTTCATCTTTGAGAATTCATCTTCATTAAGAAACTTTTTTTGTTGTTAATGGGAGAGTTAACAGTTTCTTTCATCTACTATTCCATTTTGAAACAGGAAACCTTTCGATGGCACATTGTTTATTGTGAAAGGAAAATTTATGTTGGGGGTGGTGAAGCTGAGAGTATCAGAAACCTCTGTGGTTTCTGCATGTTGCTTTCAGACAAACTATAATTTCACAAGAAGAAATCAAGATGGGTGTCAGTATCCAGAGAAGTCAATCTGAATACCTTACAGAGATTTACTCAGAAACTGTAGCTGTCAGTATCCTACTTTACTAAGTATGATTATAAAATAAATTTAAGATGTAGCTTGCGGCTTTGCAAAAATTAATAATTCTTTTTTTTTTGAAGCAGTAGCACTGTCCTGTATTTATTCGTAAATGTTTGTAACACATTATGTCTTTATTTCGTAGATATCTGGGGCTAATTATAAGTTTAGTTGAAGCAAGACTTGGTATGTTTATAACTGAAGAAATGGAGGTTTTAAAAAAAAATTCCTTTATAGGGATGTGCCAAAGCATCCATGAAATCATTCATCTTTGCTTTGATTTGCTCCTGTCTGCAAATATTGGCTATAAAAAGCCACTATCCGTAGTAGTAGTAGTAGTAGCAATACACGAATGTGACAAGATTTCCTTTATTTTCATTTATTCTGATGGAAAGGACACATAGATGAATGACTGGCCTGTCATTCTACAGGCAGTGGTGCTAAATGCAGAGCCAGAATATTTTTGCCAGATAAATAGCCTTAGTTTTGGGCTTCAGTGTGACCTATTTAAGCTTCTGCCAATTTATTCAAATTGTTATATTAAAGTGCTCCAGACAGAATGATATCATAGTGTCAAAATGATTGCAACTTGCTGCTTGGGGTTGAGTTTTGATTTTAGCATTGGATACTTTAGAATAAGGACTATTCAATTGGAAAAATAGCACATATTTGGCAAGCACAATGCTGCCTATCTTTTCTTTGCTAACGAGTGTGCATTTGAAGGTCACTCTCACTGCCTAAATCATTAGTTGGGGTAAGAGAAGGAATTCAAGGTTTTTCTCTAACTTACCTGCTACATAAGTGGACAGCAAATGGTTCAGATTCTATAAAGGGGCTGTTCTTTTTCCCCCACCCTCCATCTTTGAGTGGTCAGTGTTTGTACATTTGTGAGTGTTAGGACATCAAATCAAAAAGATTTATATAAGGAAGTGGTGAGCTGTAGTTACTATAAAATCATTTTTGAAACATTAAAAATGATGTACACGATTTTGGTCTATAACTGGTTGTTAACATAAGTTTTATTCACTTTTAATTATTTCACCATGAGTTATGGTACAATAGATGGCTATTTGATAGTTAAACATCTGCTATTATTTATTTTATTAACCCTTTTGTGGGTTTAGGTTTAGTCTCTCCAATTGAGAAACTTGACTCAACAAGGAAATCTATTATCAAAAGTCTCTACTTAGTGGGATGTGGGTGCGGGTGTTGGCAAATGTGCATTGCCTGTTTATCTTCATTATTTGTCAAAGATGAAAATGGTTGTGTTCATTTGTGAATGTACCCAGGGGCTTTGTGGAGAGAAATCACATAAATTATTATGAAAGAATTCGATATGTTTATTTTTACTCTAAGATACAGTAAATAGAAAGGCATTGATAATCACTAATTGGCAGTATATTTTATTTAAGTGTGTAGTGCAGAAGCATCCCCCTCTTTTGTTTATCTTTTCTTATTTGTTAGTGGTGAAGGAAGTGGCTCATAATATCAACAATGTCCTGATGATTACATCAGGGGCTTTATTACTAGTTCTGAAGTTAATCCCTTGACGCATTACCTTTTTAAAAAAAATAACTGCGATAGCATGAATTTAGTTTGTGAATAACAGAAAATAGCAACTTTCACGTCTAATTGGTAGGTATGTAAAAGGCGGAGTTAAGTGTATAGTTACTATTTTTTTCTTGTGACGCCTCTTTGCAAGGGTGGATCTTGGAAGTACAAATATGAACACAAACTTCAATTTCAGTTTGTTCCAGCCACCAATAAAGGAAGATAACTGTTTTTACAGGGAATAATGAAGCAGTCTTGGGTTGTAGGGTAATTATCTAATAGGTATGTAGTTTTACCATTTCTTGGCCTCTAGAATTTAAAATGGTCAATTGAAATTCTTTCCAATTAATGTTCTGTTTTCAGAGGGCAGGCTTTTTCTCTAAGGTCACTGAGAATAGGAGAACGTAATTGCTCAGTTGTCTCCTTATAAGATGTAGAGTGTTTTGTAACAGAAAATCAGTAGCACAGAGTTAGCACAGTCCATGTTTTGAGGAAAAGAATAGTAGATAGTAACACATCCCAAAACGTCCCATTTAAACAGATTTTCTGGCCTTAGCGCCTTAGCTCTGTGTGTCAGTGTCATTTGCTAGCCGACCCGAAAGCCCTCACATCAGTGGATGCTTATTTGATACAGTGATGGAAGTAGTAGTCATGAATACATATCTAGGGTCAGGTGTGCCCGGAATGAAATATGGAGTCTGTTCTGAAGCTACTCAAGAGACAAGGTTTCTTAAACACTTAATAAACATTTTTTGAGGGCTTCCTGTGTTTCCACTGAGTGCTTGTTACTGGGGATATGAAGCTAGACAAGACATAATCCCGCCTTTGACCTGTCAAGGAACTCAGAGAACACATAAATGGATAATTGCCATGTAGTATGGGAAGGGCTGTATTACAAACCCAAAGTACAGTGGGAACAGAATAGAGAACATCCTCCTTGTTTTTCTGGCCAGTGTTCAGACAGTTTTCTTTCTGGATTCTG